GCGTTTAGGTATTTCTATTTTTACTTTTGTCACCTTTCTGAAGTTTGAAGCCCGGCATTCTTTCTTGTTTTCTCTTTTGACTAAATTATTAAATATATAGTCTTTCTCTAAGTCAGGGTTTGTTTTTCATTTCTTCGGGGAGTGGTTTCCCAAACCTTTTTGTTTACGGCTATTGTAAATATTTAAACTTGTCTCATCTTTGCCATGGAGAAGTGTCTATATTTGTCGTCATATGACATTTCATTTGCTTCACCACCTTTGTGGTTGGTTTAAGTCTCTTAACATTTTTATACAACCGTCAATGACACCAAGAGCAGAATGGTTTTGGTCGACAATGAAATATTGGTTTACATTTTTTGAACGCAGATAGTTTTTTACATCATCTGATTTGAAAGAACTTTCACAGTCAGATGTCAGTTTTGTTGGATGGTATTTGTCAACGAATATTGTCAAAGCTGCTAAGATATCTAAAATAGCTTTGGACTGTAATGGTATGGCTTCACAGTATCTTGTGTTTTGACCAACAAATATTAGCCAGTTGGTGGTCCATCTCTTCTTATACCTCGGAATGTTTTCCAAGATATCCATAAACCAAGCATTTGGTGTTGAACTAAAGATTTTTACCATGAGTGCTTTCTTTGTCGCTTTAGAAACATAGGGGTCCTTGTTTGGATTCGTCATTTTTTAACCCATAAGAAATGGGTTTATTTGGCGCATTAGCAGGAGTTGCATCTAGATTTTTACCCGCAGTGGGAACAATAGCCAGAGGTGTATTTGGAGTTGGAAGGAAGATTTTGAGTACATTAGGTATACTTAAAGAGAAAGCACAACCTATTATACCAAACTGTACAGAAAGGTTGGGATGTAGCACGAGATGCAACAAATCTTATTCCAAATCCTGAAACAAGAGGAAAAGTTCAAGGATGGATGGACAATGTAGGAAGACAAGCAGGAAACTATTATAACAAAGCAAATGACTACTATAACCAAGCAGGACACTATATGGACCAAGGTGAAAGATTCTTTAACAGAGGATATAACCATGCACAACAATGGGTAAACAATAACCAACCTCAACCGCCTCAAACGGGGAATGTAAAATTTTTTACTGAGATGAAATGAACAATACAGCATTGAGACAAATGGGTTCAAGATGGATTTGTCGGCTTCCAGCAGTTACACAACGTGTTTGTCAAGTTCTTCCTATACCTCAGGAAGTTTTAGACCGACTTAAAAAACAACAACAACCAGTTGAAAACAAACCAAACTAAAATTTTTTACTGAGATGAAATGACCGAAGAAGTTGAAACGGTAGATTTGACACCACAAACAAAAAGTTCAGAACCATTGTCAAAACCCGTCAAAAGAACTTACAGATGAAGAGAAAAATTCAATAATAGAAAATGCCAGGTCTGGAAATACAAACCCTAACTACAAAGTCACTTTTCATAAAAATGAACGGCTAGTATCTCAAAAAAGAAACAGACTCTCACAAATAAAATATTGAAGTCTGAAGGAGCTTTCGAGACAACAGATGGAAAAGTTTACTTCACTGACCAACAGTTCATTATAGAACATCTCATTGACTTAGAGTCGAAATATTCTAAACTTTACAACAAACACAAAAAGTTGAAAGGAAAACAAAAACAAATGGCATATGATATTTATGAAGATGTTGACGACACAACTGTTCCTGCAGGTGAGGTAAAGTCAGAGAAACCGAAAAGTGACGAAAAACCGATAGAAGAAAGAAAAACCAAAAACTGAAGATAAACCAAAACCAAAGTTTAGTTTGGAAACTAAACCAAGTCAACCTTCATTAGCTGGTATGGGTTGGCGTCAAAGACTTATGGCAGCAGGCGGTTATGTTAAGTAAAGAAAAAAATATTTTTTTATTTTATTTGAAATGTACGCTGAGTTTGTTGGAGAAGACCGTTGGGAAACTTGTTTGTTAGATGAGAAATATGAAATGGCATACTATTTTAAAACAATATATTTTTACATATATTAAATGCTTCAGGTTGAAAAACAAAGAACAAAAGTAGCAGATACAAAACCGTTAGACTATATCTTTACAAATGCTGGTAGGACTATTTCAGATGAAGAAATTTCATCCCGAGCATACAGGTTTGACTATCCAATTCGTTGGCTTCAAAGTCCTTCAGATGCAAAGGCAATAGGATTTAGAAGAGTTTTGTTTTCAAATAGAACTAACGCATTTATGTTCGCAGTATATTTTCATGGGCAGTATAAAGGTCATGATGGTCTAATAGACAAATTTGACGAAATGAGGATCTTTACAGTTCGTTTAGACGAAAGTCTTGAGAAAACTCTAAATGACTTTCAAACTCAAATGAACAAATATTATTGGGAATTTCAAGAAAAATACGACTCTTTACTAAATGGAACATACTATCTGAAACTAGAATATGACAAGATGAACTCCACCGTTTCATTTCAAAAGATTGAAATTAACCCTCCAAGAGATACAGAGTTTTTATTTTGGAAAGTAGACAAACGTTCTTGGGCACAATTTCTTCGGTAAACCAGAACGAACCATTACCACCAGATGGTCCATTTAAATTTATACTTCCACCAGCAGATTTGACAGTTTATAGAAACGTGTTTGACCCTCAAAATGTTATGTGTCATGCAAGTTTCAGTTCAAGCAACAATAGTTTTCTATGTATTGGTAAGGACTTTTATGACTTTGCTTCTAAATTCTACGAACCACCTAGTAACAGTTTCTCTGACTTTCAAGTTTGGTTCACAAACAAATGTGTGGCAACATATTATTCCATTGTACTATGACTTTTATCTCGAATTGTCTTTCATATATAACTACGGAAAAGTGCTGAAAAAGTATTGAAAAATAATGTTTATGTTAGCATGTTAGATCTAACATTTTTTCTAACATTTTTTCTAACATCGTAGAAAACTCATGACTTCTTCGTAAATGTTTTGTCAAGACTTCTTCGTAATGAGTGTAAAGGACCCAAAAATATAATTTAGGGTAGAAGGTTAGATCTAACCTCTTTTCTACCCTCATTTCACCTCATGAATTTTCATGAATTTCATCGTACATGCTTTGTCAAACATGAACGTACATGCTTTGTCAAGACTTCTTCGTAAATGTTTTGTCAAACATGAACGTACATGCTTTGTCGAAACTTCTTCGTAAATGTTTTGTCAAGACTTCTTCGTAAATGTTTTGTCAAGACTTCTTCATCGTAATGAGCGTAAATCAGACAAAAATATAATTTAGGGTAGAAGGTTAGATCTAACCTCATTTCTACCCTCTTGAATTTGTCATGACTTCTTCGTAAATGTTTTCGTTAAGCCACTTTGTGCCGTCAGTCAGTCAGTTTAGGAAAGACTTTAGAAAGTTGTTGGAAAATAAGTCCTGGGAAGAGTATTATAAGGCATTTTGTGAAGAATATAGCAACCGTCGGAATACAGACGGTTGGTTTTTATATAAAATTCATGCAGGAAATTCTTGAGTTTTGGTTGAAAGAATACGGTGGAGCCAAAAGTGGCTCGACCTCAAAACAAGCATTTTATGAGCTTACAAAGGGTGTTATGAATGAATTCAAATGTATTTACATACATCCTGACCTCGTTCATTTTGTTCCCGGACCAAAAATAATGTTTAGGTGAAGAGGTGCGATCTCACCTGTTTTTTCACCTGTTTTTTCACCTCTTGAATTTGTCATGATTTCATCGTAAATGTTTTGTCAAGACTTCTTCGTACATGCTTTGTCAAACATGAACGTAAATGTTTTGTCATGACTTCTTCGTAAATGTTTTGTCAAACATGAACGTACATGTTTTGTCAAGACTTCTTCGTACATGTTTTGTCAAGACTTCTTCGTACATGTTTTGTCAAGACTTCTTCGTACATGTTTTGTCAAGACTTCTTCGTACATGTTTTGTCAAGACTTCTTCGTAAATGATTTGTCAAAACTTCTTCGTACATGCTTTGTCAAACATGAACGTACATGTTTTGTCAAGACTTCTTCGTAAATGTTTTGTCATGATTTCATCGTAAATGTTTTGTCAAGACTTCTTCGTAAATGAGTGTAAAGGACCCAAAAATATAATTTAGGGTAGAAGGTTAGATCTAACCTCTTTTCTACCCTCATTTCACCTCATGAATTTGTCATGAATTTCCTTAAGATAGAAAAAATAAAGTTAGTTTTATTTTGTATTTTTTTGTATGTAAGATATGATTTCAGGGATTTTTTTGACGAAGTGTCAACCTTCACTTCGTCAAAAAATAACAGTTATCTAATGAAAAAGTGTCATGACTTCTTCGTAAATGTTTTGTCAAGACTTCTTCGTACATGTTTTGTCAAGACTTCTTCATCGTAATGAGTGTACATGTTTTGTCATGACTTCTTCGTAAATGTTTTGTCATGACTTCTTCGTAAATGTTTTGTCAAACATGAACGTAAATGTTTTGTCAAGACTTCTTCGTAAATGTTTTGTCAAGACTTCTTCGTAAATGTTTTGTCAAACATGAACGTAAATGTTTTGTCATGACTTCATCGTAATGAGTGTAAAGGACCCAAAAATATAATTTATGTTAGAATGTTAGATCTAACATGTTTTCTAACACGTTTTCTAACATGGTCTAAAACTCTCGAAAATCATGAAATTTACAGCAAAAATATAATTTATGTTAGCATGTTAGATCTAACACGTTTTCTAACCTCTTGAATTTTCATGACTTCTTCGTAAATGTTTTGTCAAACATGAACGTACATGCTTTGTCATGATTTCATCGTAAATGTTTTGTCAAACATGAACGTAAATGTTTTGTCAAGACTTCTTCGTAATGAGTGTAAATCAGACAAAAATATAATTTATGTTAGAATGTTAGATCTAACATGTTTTCTAACATGTTTTCTAACCTCTTGAATTTTCATGAATTTTCCCGAAATAAAAAATAAAGTTAGTTTTATTTTTTTTATTTTTTTTATTTTGTATAAAAAAATAAAATGTCAACAATCGGCACAACAACACTTCAAACAACAACAGCACCAAACTCGTTAGTCATGAATCCTACGTCAATGTTAGTAGAGATGAAAAGCTTCATTCCTTCTTCATATACTTTCGAAACAGAAATCCAGAAGATAAAGCAAGAACTTTTAACAAGTACTTTGGACTGTAGTGCGAAAGATGAAACAAATGAACAGTATCTTTATGAAATGGAGGACATTATTGACCATTTACCCAAATTGCCTGAAATTCAGCAGCAAAAGCTCACTATTCCTGAATTCGATGAAATAGAAGTCAAAGCAACTGACTCAGTAGAAATAAAGAAGTTCATACGAAAGGTAAACTATGAGTTTCTAGGATTTCATTGCAACCATAAGGTTATGGACAAAGATTGCGACATGTTATATAAGAACATCTCTGACATATATAAATCTGAAGAATTTAAGACCTACGACAACTTTGTTTCGTTAGTTGCTGAATGTGTATGGCAGATAAGAGATAAAGATAAAAGAGGCAAAGTATGGAACAAACAGATAAAACCAGCAACTTTTGAGTTAAAGAAAACCATTGACGCTTTAGTTGTTTTAGCAGGTAAGGTTTCAGAATATAACGCAAAAATGAACCCGCAATGTTCAAAATGTAAAGCGGCAATGAGGAGATATAACTACTCCGTCAAAGAGATAGAAAGAATGAGAAACGACTATGCAGACTTAAAGAAAGAATCAGAAAAGCCAGCAGAAGATAAAATGGACATGTTAGCATTTCTGAACAAAAACTATCCAACAGCAGAAGATTTCCTTCTATCTGACGTCAAGAAGAAGTATAAAGAGACTTTCGGCATAGTTAAAACATTCGATATCCTCAGCGAAGAAATAGAAGCTACAAAACTGTTTAGAGTCATGAACCATCGCAACATATACCATGTAAAACGCTTGTAAATAGTTATGTTAGAAAACATGTTAGAAAACATGTTAGATCTAACATTCTAACATAAACTTTATTTTTGCTGAATTCCGTATGAAATTTCATGAGTTTTGTGTGTTTTAGACCATGTTAGAAAACATGTTAGAAAACATGTTAGATCTAACATTCTAACATAAACATTATTTTTGGTCATTTACAATGAAGTCTTGACAAAACATGTACGAAGAAGTCTTGACAAAACATGTACGAAGAAGTCTTGACAAAACATGTACGATGAAATCATGAAAATTCAAGAGGGTAGAAAAGAGGGTAGAGAACAGGTTAGATCTAACCTTCTACCCTAAAATATATTTTTGTCTGATTTACGCTCATTACGAAGAAGTCTTGACAAAACATTTACGAAGAAGTCTTGACAAAACATGTACGAAGAAGTCTTGACAAAACATGTACGATGAAGTCTTGACAAAACATGTACGATGAAATCATGAAAATTCAAGAGGGTAGAAAAGAGGGTAGAGAACAGGTTAGATCTAACCTTCTACCCTAAAATATATTTTTGCTGAAAAAAATGACCAAATTTCATTATATAACTGTTATTTTTTTACGAAGTGAACTTTGACACTTCGTCAAAAAAATCCCTGAAATCATATCTTTTATACAAGATAGAAAATCTTACTCGCCTAAAACTCATGAAAATCGTGAAAAATTGCGAGTAGGGAAAAAAACCTGGTCGCCTAAAACTCATGAAAATCGTAAAAAAATGACCAAATTTCATTATATAACTGTTATTTTTTTACGAAGTGAACTTTGACACTTCGTAAAAAAAATCCCTGAAATCATATCTTTTATACAAGATAGAAAATCTTACTCGCCTAAAACTCATGAAAATCGTGAAAAATTGCGAGTAGGGAAAAAAACCTGGTCGCCTAAAACTCATGAAAATCGTAAAAAAATGACCAAATTTCATTATATAACTGTTATTTTTTTACGAAGTGAACTTTGACACTTCGTAAAAAAAATCCCTGAAATCATATCTTTTATACAAGATAGAAAATCTTACTCGCCTAAAACTCATGAAAATCGTGAAAATTGCGAGTAGGGAAAAAACCTGGTCGCCTAAAACTCATGAAAATCGTAAAAAAATGACCAAATTTCATTATATAACTGTTATTTTTTTACGAAGTGAACTTTGACACTTCGTAAAAAAAATCCCTGAAATCATATCTTTTATACAAGACAGAAAAAATAAAGTTAGTTTTATTTTTTTATTTTTTATTTATTTTGTATGTAAAGACATATATGACAAACACTGAGTTTGAAACAGTTAAAAAGATAGACAATGACACCAAATTGGTTAGAATAGGTGATTTAAACGTAAGATACTCAAAGAAATACAACAAATATTCTTTGTCAGACATTATATCTCCATTTGGAAAGAAACCGAAGGACTGGGTTAGAAATGCTTCAACTCAGAAATTTTTGACAAGAAATCCTGAGCTTATGATATCAGTAGCATTTCATGGAACAAGAGCATATCTTATAGACAAAAGTCTTATACCAATAGTTTTGTTATGGTTAGACCTAGTTGTTGGATATAACTTCATAACTTATGGTTCATTCGATACGGAACGTTGCAGTGAAGGCTTACTTTACATCGTTCAGAAACCGAAGGACTTCAATACAAAGAGATATAAGATAGGAAGAACATATAATATAACTCAAAGATATGACAGTACAGTCAATATAGTCAAGGTTGTGTTCGTTAACGATATGAGAGCTGCTGAAACAGAACTACTTGAAAAGTTTGAGAAAATGTATGGTGCTCCCATAAAAGGTAAAGAAACGTTTGAAGTAGATGAGATAGATAAAGCTATAAAATTATTTGACGAAGTTGCTGAAAAATACATGTAAAGCGTTTATTTTTGGTCTTTTGTGAAAGTCAGAAAATAAAGTTAGTTTTTTATAAAATATTTTTTTTTATCCGGAATATAAAGACAGATATGTCAACAACAGAGAACACAACAACAGTTATAGTCCATGAAGATATAAATGAAGAATATGAGTGGGTTCAGTTTAACAAACAGTTACGTCTCATTCGTTCAGTCAAAGACGATATGTACCAAATGCAAAGTATTTTGACAGCATGTTTTGCTCCAGATACTAAACATACAGACGATTGGTTCAAAAACCAAAGCACACAAGAACTTTTGAGCGAAGCACAGCGAGACCGACTTTTTTCGGGGTCGCCAAAACTCTATGAAAATCGTAAAAATTTGCCAAATGGTTTGAGAGGTTGGTATGTACATAGACTTCTTGTAAATGCTGTTGCAATGTGGGCTTCGCCTCGTTATGCTTGGTATATTTACAGACTTCTTGACGAAATTCATAGACAAGAACGTGAAGAGATGGAAAAGAAACTTCAAGCAAAAGATGAAGTCATTGAAGCAAAAGACAAAAACATTCAGAAAAGAATACCACGTTCGGTACCAAAAGGTAAGGAAAAGAACTATAAGTATATGATTTATACTGAAGAGATGGAAAATGAAGAAGATAAAGATATGGTTATGTTGCATTTAGTCAGAAGAAACAACAAAAGCTTTTACGACCTTGCTAAGATTTACAAATCTGACAGAAATTGGTTCTATCGCGAAAACTTACCGATTTCAATGACCCCAAATGAAGATGTGAAACAAATAGTTCAAGATACGTTACCTCAAACACACTATGATATGAAAGGTTGTACAATACTTACCTTCAAAGAAGATTTGCCATTGTTAAAGGAAAAAATAACAGAGTATTTTGACAACTTCAAACAAGCAGAGTAAATGAACTCTTTATTTTTACGCTTGACTTCAGATGGCTCAGGTAGCTCTATAAAGTAAATTGCCTTGTCAAATCCTTCTGGCATTCCGAGTCCTTCCTTCCGACAGAAAAAGTTTTTCCTTCCAACAGAAAAAAATTTTCCTTCCGACAGAAAAAATTTTCCCGACGACAGGAAAAAATTTTCCAGTTGTCCGTCCGTAAACCATTCAAATTTTCGAAAATTGAGAACTTTTTGGTCGAACTTCAGGAAAAGTTTTTCCTTCCAACAGAAAAAGTTTTTCCTTCCGACAGAAAAAGTTCTTCCTTCCAACAGGAAAAGTTCTTCCTTCCGACAGGACACAAACGAATGTCTCACGTCCCTCTTCCTGAATGCCTTCCAAAGCCAGAAGAACCGACAGCCCCAGCACCACAACAGACTTACTAAGACTAAACACTTACATTTTTCAAGCTTGACTTTTTACAATTTGAACTTTGTTTGCGTAGATATGAATTCTGAAAGAAGTATGAGGGTCTTGTATGACTTTATACTTCTCCCAGAGTTCATATCTGTCAAACTTACCTGCCATGGACTCTTTCATAAGTTCCATGAAATCGTCTTCGGACAATCCGGGGAAAAGTATAATGTCAGTCAGTATTCTTTTAACATCCTTACTTAAACTCTTTGCTGTCTGTACACAAATGACAACTGAAATGTTAAAGTGTCTGAGCTTCTTAAGAATTCGACACATATCTTGTTCTCTATTCTTTAACAAAGGATGAGAGGCGAAATCATCTAAGATAAGAAGACATCTATGAGGGTATGTCTTCCAATCGTAAGATTGCAATTTCTTCGAAATGTATTCTATCTCTTTCTGTTTGTTTCTGAAGTGTTTCTTCTCTAATATTCTCTGCATTTCCTCATTTGGGTCTTTAAACTTCGAATTTATATACTCATTTATAGCATTGTACTTCAAAACCCTTCTTTGGTACTTCTTTATCCAATCTAACAACTCAGTATCCTTTATACATACTAACTTAGACTTCTTTATAATATCTTTGAACGAATTGACGGTTTGGTCAAATTGACCAGAAGTACTACAAATGACTACTAACTCATAGAATGGGTTCTTCTCATCTAGTTCTTGTTGTTGTGCAGCCATTTTAAGATAAGTGAAAGTCTTACCCGACCCAGGTGGTGCAATTAGACCTGTTATACCATTCTGAGCAAATAAGAACTTGTCATGTATAGGTTTTATCTGAGCATTTTCTAACTTCCTCTTGTTCTTGTTTAAAACATTCTCAAATTTCTTGTCAATGTCAGCAAACTTTTTTTCTAACATATTTTTAGAAAAATTAAAATTTTTATCTTTTAGAAAATGTCTAGCGATTTCGCTATCTATATTCGAGACAAGCTTTTCGACAGCAAAACATCTGTCGACCATAAAATCTTACATAGTGTAAACAAGAAAGGTGAATTTGTTCTAAAGTTCTGTTTCTGGGAATATGACAAGAACCATAAAACATTAAGCAGAGCAGTCTTAAAATTTGTCAATGACAGACTTGTTGACAGAGATGACACCGATTGGAAAGATGAAGTCCAACAAAAGTTCTTAGAATGCAAAGAAGACACATGCGCTGTTCTTGAAGATGAAATAGAAAACAGAATAGAAGAGCTATTAAAGGACAAAGAACTTTTACATAAATATGGTTCGGAGAAATTTGACATAACTCCACCAGAAAAGAAGAAGAAAGAAAAGAAAGAAAAGAAAGTAGAAGAAGAGAAGAAAGAACCTGAACCAGTTCCAGAGAAAAAGAAATTTGACATGTAAAAATAAACTTTTATTTTTAGAACATTTCTGGGTCAATGTCAATGTTCTCTTCCTCTTTAGGAGCAAACACTGGCTTAGACTCTAAAATCTTTTTACCCAATTTACCTTGAACTTCAACTATCTTAGACTCATAATATTCATAGTCGTCTGCTTTCTTTGGTTCATAAGGTATAACAAGTTTGTATGCTTTGCCTTCTTTAAGGTTTGAGAACCTTCTGTCAAAACTTTCTTTGACTGCTAACGAACCTTCTATGTCTAAGTCTTCAAATTTCGCACCATTTTTAGTCACAATAGCAAACTTAACTGGTTCGATGTTCCAAACTTTGCTGAATGAAGACTTTTCAAAATGGTAGAAGTAAACATTCAAATATGTGAATGGGTCTAGTTCTTCTTTAAGTCCTGACATGTACTTGTTTACTGAAATATATTTCGTCATCTTTTCTATCGGATAAAAAAATATTTTTTTTTAAATTTACTCAGAAAAATTTTTCTTTGTATATACACCATTCTGTACGTCTAAAAGACTTTTGACATTTGCCAAGAATGTTCGTTTAGACGCTGTCATATAACCATATTCTTGACAATATTGTTTATACGAATCGTACAATGACCTTTCATCTAAACACTCAAAGTCAGTTTCATCTATGAACAGTTCATATACACTCTTGTTTGCTTCTAACAATGTTTGTCTCTCTTCGGTATGTGGAATTTGTCTTGGATTGAACTTTGAAATATCTAATGTCATAAAATATGAGAACAAGTGGTTGTAAAAGTCAGATGTCAAAGTTTCTGCTAAGTCGTCAAAATATTCTGTATCTTGCATATGAGAATCTGACGTTCTGACAACTACATATCTTCTGTCAGAACTTTCTAACTTCATCGGAACAGTATTGTTTGAAACCATAATGAAGTTTGCAACATTTTCACAAACTCTTTGGTCTTTATATTTTCTTTCAACAACTCCAACTTTGTCTGTTATAAGACTCTTCAAAGCATCTGAGTTTAAAACTTTTGTTGTATCTATACTTTGAAGTTCGTTACATACTATAAGTTTCATATTCTCTATTGAGGAGTTAAATTTACCACAGATGTTTTCTAAGTTTGTCATATTCGGATTCGAATAGCCCTCTAACAGTTTGCACAAAATATCTGTAAAGAAAGTATTCTTACCAGTTCCTTGTTTTCCAATTATAATGAGAGCAGTTTCATTTTTAGCACTTGGATGTTGTAAGATGTTTGCAAACCAACATAAGATATACTCATAAACCTTTTCGTTTCCATTGCATATAATTTCTTTGACATGGTCTAACAAGCTTCTTAATATTTTCTTTCCATTCTACTTGTTCATATTTATATCCAGTGAAGATAGAATAGAAGTTTGGAGAAGGTGTATAAAACTTTATACCTCGAACTGAAAATCTTCTAACTTTGACAATAAGATATCCCAAGCATCTAACATCTTCATTCCAACTTGTACAACTTTTATTTTCTTAAGTTTCTGTCTACATTCTTGTTCAGACACTATTGTTGCTCTTGGTTTGTTAAAGACTACATCCCATTCTTTCATAACATAACATTCTGGGGCAGAGTCGACATAAATGACTAAACGTTTCAAATTCTCGACTGCTTTGTTATAGTCTCTAAATGGACACATATTTCTGAATGCTTGGAAGTCATAAAAATCTGAAACATCTATTCTGTACATTTTTATAAAAATAAAAAAAATATTTTTTTTTATTCTTGACTTTGTTGTTGCATTTGTTGCATTTGTTGTTCTTGAGCTATTTGTTGTTGAAGTTGTTCTTGTAATACAATACTTTCACCAGTTGCATCTTCCAATTCGAAACTTTCTGCCGTCATTGACAAATACATAGGACATAAAAGTTTTACAGGAACAAAGTTTGCGTCAACTAATGTCAACGTTATACTTGCCAAAGTGTTTGAGTTCACTAAGGTTGAAAATTCTGCATTCGAATGAACAATAGGCAAACCAGCAGAGAAAGTATTGTTTATACGCATAAGTATCTTTTGGTCATAATAGTTTCTGTCGACATTCGAATAACACTTTGAACCTAAGTTTGAAACAATATATAAGATTGGTGTGCTTAATGTCAATGGAATAGACATTCCTTGTATGACACCTTTTCCTGTTATAGGAAACTGTTGGTAGTAAAAACCAGAAATAAGTTTTGTATTATAGCTCATATCGTTTATAGTAAACTCAGTCGGACATCCAAACATAATGAAACCTGCTCTAGTTGCAGCACATGTTACACCCGTACTTAAAGTATTAAATAAGTCAACAAAACCTGTTGGTGGTATATCTGAGTAAGTATCTTCAAAGGAGTATTTTTTACCATTCACAACAATAAAGTCTTCTGGTGTCAAAAGAGCAAAACAGGCTTTAGTCGTCATTGTGTTTAAAGTTAGTTTACAATACCGTCCTTGAGGACTTTGTAAGTTTGTTTGTTATAGAATTATATGACTCAGGGTTTTTAGTCGTAATAGTATAAACCATTATATCTTCTGCCATTTACTTAGCAAATAAATTTTAATGAAATGTTGTGGTCGTCAAATATTTTTATGACGTCTGGGAAACTATACTTTAAGTTCAACGTTTCACCTCCTTTCATAACGTATATCTTGTCAATGACATTATATGAAACACCACAGCAACTAATGTCGGGTTCTATTTCTTTGATGTTTATATCGTCTGTCTCTGTCAAAAGTTTCAATAGTTCTTTCAAAACTTCATGAGGTGCAATGACATATGAGTTCACTTTTACAGGGTTGTGTTCGACCAAGTTTAACATTATACTTAAAGCTTGACAAATCTTCTCCTGAGTTTGAAGTTTGTCTTTCAGTTGTTGGTAGTCGTTTCGAATATCTGCAACAGAACTTAAGTCTCTGCTAACTTCAGGATATGTTGGTTGTTCTTTTACAGGAACAATTGCTTACCATCTTCGTCTTCGTATGGTTTCCCCACTTCAACATCTCTGTCTTTGACATTGACAATAACACTTTGACTGTTTGTTTGAGTTGGTGAATTTAACTTCACATCTGCCACCGCCATTAAACCTTTTGAAACACTTACGCTTCTATTTTTCGGAAATGACATTTTACTTAGAATAAAAAGATGGACGTATTCGAGTATCTCTTCGAATTGAAGCAGAACAAAGTTTACACACACAAAC